TGAAAAAACTTGAGAGATAGGATGATCAGTTTCAGCCCAATAAAAAATATCACTTAAAAATGCCAATGGTAACTTATTATAGTTTTTACACTGATATTGGTAAAAAATAGCCTAAACACGAAACATGGCTTCTCTGTATGCTGGCCAATTTCCACTGCAAAATAAAAAGGCATAAATATCTAAAACTAGCGGAATCGTATTATCCAGTAGATTAATAAAATATCTAGCTTCTGGATTTTTATATTGTTCGAATTTTTGTAATACTATCAAACACACTCAAGTCCACTCTTGAAATGCTATTTCTAACAATAAATTAATCTTGTATGGTTTTGGCTTTTTTGCCAATACCTTCCTATATCCAAATTCCTCTTGAAAGAGCTTATCAAAAAATTGGTAATTAGCAAGAAATACGGTTTCACAACTATTCAAGGATATATGCAAATGTCCAATCATCAGAACAATATGTAAAATTTGTTCTGGTATTTCCGATAAATCTCCAACACTGGCACGATAAGCTACAGCACGTCGTATATGAAGCTGTTCAGGATAGTCCATAGGTATCACTAATACTCACGTTTCTATGTATGTTCTTACTCTAATATTATAGTTGAATGGAGGGATCCTTCTTTCAGATCAATAAGTTTTGTATTCTCCATGCTTCGATCAGTCTGACGTTGTTCAATTCTGTTATCATAGCTGTGAATTAAGAGACATTCAACTCGTTCATTGTGGGTCTTTGGTACAGACGACTTAATAAATGCCTGCTTTCGTCTTGTATAACTAAGCCATAAATAAGGGAAGAAATATGAATTAGCATTACGAATAATAATACTTGCATTAATACTACTTTCATTATAGATACTCTTTTCCTGATTTGGATTATAAAATGGAATAAACACGATTTTTGGCAAGGCTTTTAGAAGTATTGTAACAAAATGGGTGACTTCATGTATAGTAGTCGTATCACTGCGACGATATTCGTGAATATTATGAAAATCGTTCACATTGAGAATAACCAAGTGTTCAACTTATTAAAAGTTATATATCAGTTGATTATTTACAAACCAAGGATTTAAAATACTTGTATGTCTAGTATACTTACATTTTCTGATAAAAACTTTTCCACCGTCATCGTATGTATCCCTGCGTGTTGAGCTTTATGTCTTGCAATAGTCTCACGTCTTATTGTCAAACCTGCATTAGCTAAGGTTTCTATTGCTGATGAAGACATCCTAGACGAATCTAGTAAAAGCCCAACTTCTGCTTTAACTCCATTAATAAATTTATTGTTAAGTCCCGCTAGAAAATAACAAAATGAAACCAATCTCGTCCTATTTTTTTGATTAGTCATATGTAAAGATGGGAACTGTAATTAATATGTTGCAACATTTTGTAAATTTGAAATCAATTGCTGTACCATCTTTAGTCATATGACTCTTAGTTTGTGGGTTAGTTCTGGCTACTAATTGGTCAAAAAAACCTTTTAACAGTGGTTCAGCTTTCTCAAGCATTGTCTTGAATTCTTCTGGGTCTAGAATAGGTTTTTCATGATATACACGCTGCCTTGTATACAAAACTCCTACTATTAGTTTAATCTTCTTACCAAGAGGAATCATCTCTAAAAAAAAATATCAAAACATCAACTATATAAAAAGCAATTTAAAATACAGCTACGAATAAAACTATTTATTTACCTAATTTCATTTCATCAAGCTCTACACATACTTCGTGATATGCAGATTCCAGTTCCTGAAATTCAGATTCAGAGTAAAAAACATCACTTCGTAATACATATAACCTACCTTGAAATTCTCTTATATCCTCTTTTGAAATTCTTTCAGGTGGTGGCATATAATTGGGTGAATTAACATGTTTTGGATCATCATCAGTTTTGTATAAACAATAATGACATATCATTGCCCCTTGCGCTAGTTCAAAGAATCTGATTAATCATTTCGGAGCCTTCTTGAATTTCTTTCCTTCCATACCATGTCAAGCTGTAGATAGATAAAATTCATGCTTTAGATGCGAACATACATTAGCATTAGTTTTAGCTTTTTTTTTTGCATTTACTATCAGTCTGTTGTAATGTTTTCAGCATAAGGCTTTGCCAACTAAATTTAAATGTTGGCTTGAGCTTGGTATATTTATTTGCTCAGATACAATGGATGCATCATGCTGTTCATAATCACAAGTAACATCATTCTGACCCTCCAAATCACAATATTGAGCCTTTCTTTTTTCTTTTTTTCATTAAAAAGAGGTGTATCTTTGTGGTGGCTAGACATTTGCTTGTATTCTTTTCTTTTCAATAATTAAAAGATTTTATAATAAAAATTAACATAAAACCCTTATTAGCTAAGTTTTGAATTACCTCTCTATTTACCGAATTACTTTAACAATATATAGAACGAAGGTATATTTTATAAATTTTTTTATCGCAATCCTTGCGAATTCATCCCTGTGGCTGCGAATCCATTTAAAGTTAGATTATCATCATTTCATATGAAAATTAATATGCAACGATCATTTTAAGATCAACCAATCAGATTTAAGCCCGCTATGCTGGGGACCAATAAGAGGTACAATATTAAGGATTTGTGATGGTACACTAGACTGGTCTCCATTAATTATACGATCTATAATTGCATGACGAACATTCTTTTGTCCAGGATAATCAATAGGAGTGATCAAAATATTTCTTTTCAAATATTCACATAATTCCAGAATATCAGTAATTAATTGTATTACAGAAATATAATTTTGGTTGAATGTAAATTACCTTCCAAGAGATTAATTAACTTTGTATTTTGCATACTCCTATCATTTTTTCATTTAGCAATCCATATATCATAAGTATGCACAAGCAACCGTTCAGTATGTTCTTCATGAGTTTCATATAATCCAAATAAATTTGTGAAATTTCTCTTTCATTCATGATAAGTAATGTTTAAATCTTTCATAAATTGTAAATCAAGTTTAATAATTATATTACTAGGATCAATTCCTT